AACTACAGAGGGCCTCGAAAGATCAAAATGTTAGAACTGTGTTAATGAAAGACGTGCACATTTGTTGGGTTATAATTTTAAAACTGATTTTATTTTGTATAAGTTCTAGCTTATAAAAATGACATGAGATTGATACAACTACTTATCTATAGACCGACGCGTTGTGGGGTAATCTTGTGACCCGAGCGTGGCACTTGACGGTTGTTGGTGCCTAAGTTCCTTTTTTCTTGACCGCAAACTTAAAACGGTCTTTTTTCAAAACCATGTTTTTCATATTGGCATAAAGGATTGTAAAAAAAGTAGCGAACCAATTTTTTTCATCTACCTTTTTTTTAAGAGAACGTTGTAACGACCCTGTTTTGGGAGGCGGTATAGCTCGCCGTGGCCAGGGTTCGAGACAGAAATTTATTCCCTCTTTTGATCGGTTTACCTCCCTTTCCCCAAAGAATAACACAAATCGAACGCTAAGAAGTATGGTTATGTTTTAATAGTATGATTGATTAAGACTACGTTTTCTGACTATAATTATATCGAGCGTGATACTTCTTGATAAGGGGTTCGGCGTTGCTGAAGGGCTGAATGTGCTACTGCTTGTTGATATCGACGCTGCGGAAGGGCCGAGTGTGGTACTGCTTTGAGTATCGCACTGCTTTGTATGCGGGATCGGCGCTACGAAAGGGGTATGTTGCACTGCTTGCTGCTACGAAAACCATGCCGGGCTCAGCGATCTCGACCGGGCCTGGGTGCGTATTCCTAAACCACACCGGGCGTCGGTGATCCTCACCAGGTCGTAGAGCCGAATTTCAAACCGAACTCTTACGGATCCACCACCACTACCAACTACCAGAATTGTTTACCGGAATTGTTTATCAAAGTCCTCAACGACGAAGCAGACGGTCTGAATATGCAAGGTATATCAAATAAGTTAGAAACGTCTTCAAAAAATATTAGGCACTCAGTGTCATACACCCGCAATTTCCATAATTAATATCCGTTACCTTGAATGCCTTTACTGTGCCCAAGGCGTTAAGAAAATGATTAAATTCTCTACGTTTGAGAGTTGATCATCATCTTAATTTGTGGTTGTTTTCTATATTTGGGAAACTTAATTCTAAGTATTCTGTGATGCCCACTGATTGTGTTTAATGTGTTGTCTCCTAAATCTTGTTTTTGAGTTGGGCTTGTAAAAGATTTAAGAAGAGCAGCTTTTCACTGGAGGCCAACTCCGAATTAATTTTGTGTAATGACCACTTATCCACGTAAGCATTAAGCATCTTTATCCATTGTAATAGTTCCTTCTGTTAATAATGTGTTAATTCGCTTTATGTTATTGAATATAATATCTCTCTGCTGGAAAAGTTCAACTTTATAACCATTTGGTACAAAAGTAGAATTATTACCATTGCGTTTAATAGGAGGCATGATATGAATTTAGTTTAGATGTCAAACTTATTGAACTACCCTCCCAATTCTCATTATAAATGAGCCGGCCACAGTACTGTAATATTTTGCCTTAGCCGACTTTCACCGCTCTTGAAGAGGAATCGAAGATAACCGTTTCGGGCTTATGCACGCGTGTGTACACATGTGACTTATTCGCCGTTGCTGGTACTGCTGCTGCTGCTCCTCAGGTAGAGCTAGGTTCTGCTTTATCACCCGCCACCTATATTGCAGACTCAAGAAGTTCGGTGTAGATTTCGTCGTCAAGGTATATTACTGAACATACACTTAGCAAATGCTTCCTATGCTCCTTAATGCTGTTTGGAAAATAGATGGTGAGTTTTTTAATCTTAATGGGAGTCTGGTGAAATCGCATTTTCACCATTCACGGAAAATGCAGTTTTCTCTATACCATTGCTTTAAGTGGTATCTTATGGAATGCGCTTCACTAAGTGTATCTTGAGTTGTAGAGGTTTTGGCGTATTTAATATGACGCGAAGGTTTAATGCCTCAACTTCCATAGGTATTGCTTTTGGTTAGGATCGAGTTTAAATCTGTCATTAGTACAGTTTGATTTGTTGGCTCTTAGTTATGAAATTTGAATTGGGCGGCGGTTAAAGGGAATTTCCACAGTTGAGATCACTAGCTATGTTTGGTTAGGTTGTTGGGTCTTAGGAGGTAGCATAGACGGTTTTTTCTAAGTTTGTAATGTTCGGTGTCTGATTGCTTCTTGTGTTTTCGTTCCCTAGTAGACTTGGTTCCCAAGGAACATGGCTGTTAGTGATTGTACGGTCCGCTGTGAGACTACTAAGTTGCCAATTTGATTTAAAACAAGGAAAGCTGTTGAAAGTCGGCTTGTTAGAATTCGAGTATAGTATTGCTGTTTCGATTGAGGGCATAAATGGCTGTCCAGTTTAAGGAATTTTTTTTTTATTCTAAATTTGCCTCCACTTGTCCGGTATTTGTTAGGTTTAAGAAAGATTTATTTTATGCTTACCCAGGTTTGTGAGTCGTCGTGGTCCTGTTGTCAAATTGTGACAACGCCACAAATTTTGTGTGTGCTGCACGAAACCTGAAGGAGCTCTAGAACCTTTCAACACCAATGATTACAGCATTATGTCGTATGCTGCGGCCCATCGTTTCACCATCGACTACATCCCTCCCAGAGCGCCACATATAGGCGTCCTTTGGGAGGGCCGCCGTAAAGTCGGCTAATCATATGGGTCTCAAGACTATGGGCATCACTATTCTGAAGGAGCAGGAATAGGAGGACAATCTTCACACTGTCGTAGTGTAGGTCGAAGCCGTTCTGAATCGTGGAAAGGGAGAGGAAGTCACGAAGTCAGGTCTATATAAACACTCTATTCAACGTCTTGAGCCCATTCCCATTAGTTGGAGAATGTTTATATGCTGTGAACGTAGCCGACTTATGTCTACAATAAAAATTTAAGTGAATGATAAAATTAGTACCTAAGATCACATGAAGTCAGAACCCGAGCTCTTGTATTACAAAAAATTAACACATAGCTTTACAGACTCAAGAAGAGCTAAAATAAATGTGGAGGCACTCTCAATTTCAAAACGAAAGCGTCCAGACGTTTTATTTTTCCCGATAATTCAAATCTCTGGAAATACAATTTCTCGTACCGGCGGTTGCAGTTTAAGATTAAAATTTTAAGTTCATGGTTTTGATGTTTTAGTGTTGGAATTTAGTGAAATTGAAATAAGTTAGTCAAAAAATAATAAATAATTATCATTATTTAGTTCCAAATTCTTTGATATTGTTTTTTTTGTCTTATTCAATTAAATTATAACTCAGAAACTAATTCTGCAGTCGTACTTTTGCAGAGGGTATTGTAATTTCGGTCAGAAGTTTGCAACGCAGTGAAGGAGACTTTTCTGACCCTATATATATTCTTGATCAGCATAGCTAGGAAAGTCGGTCTTGTCTTGTTATGTCCGTCCGTCCGATTCTATGCAAAGTAGTCTCTCAGTTTTAAAGATACCTGCATGAAACTTTTCCAAAAGTTGTCTTCCTATTGCAAGTAGTATAGTAGACGGGACGAGCTGGTTCGGACGACCATATCATATTGCTCCATTAATCACAATCGGAAAAAACTAGAGCGTAACTGTATTCAAAGTTTTTGTCTAGTTTCTCGATATTTAATGATAGTGTAGCACTCTATTTATTACAAAATAACGGTTTAAATTTGATCAAAATCGGAAGAAAAAAAATTTTTAACTTCCCAAATTTTCAATTTATTTTTAATAATTCTTCTAAGTTTATCGGATAACGATATTAAATAGCTGCCTAGGAAATCATAGTGAAAATCTTCATAGCTTCAATGGTGTTTATTGGGAACTTATATATTCGAAATTTAGATGTTTATATATATATACATAAAATACTGCTTTCTTTCTTCTTTTTGTGAAATAAAAAGAAATAAAAGGATAATGCAGATATATACATATTTATACTCGTTACTCGTAGAATAAATGGGTATATTGTATTCCCTTAAAAGTATGTTACAGGTAACGTTACGTTTCCGACCATATCAAGTGTATTCTTGATCAGAACCAACAGCCGAGTCGATCTTGGAAACTATAAAAGCTAAGACTTGGGAATTAGCATGCAGATTCTAGTAGTTCCTCGGCAGCGCAAGTTTATTTTAAAGAAAGAATTCTTATTACCCGCATTTGTCAGTTTATACGACTAAGAAGAGGAGCTGATGAGTGCCACCACAGTTGCATACAATATTAGAAAATTGACGTGTTTGTGGACGTTTTAATGTATTACAAAATTAAAATACAGGATGTATAACGAATCTTAACTGAATACCAAAACCGTAAAGTTAATAATTAGGAACGCCGCGATGTGCTTTTCAGCCGGCTTCGCCAAGCTTTTCAGTTATCTTGTTAAATAATCATTAAACGCATGTTTCCTGCCAGAATTTCAGCGACCAGGAATTGCTAAGCTTTCGCTTTTTTTACGAAGACACTGACGAAATATCGATAACAATCGGTATTTTTTAGAATAGCCTGTTACACTTGAAAGACGTGCTTTATTGCGTCTGAACAGCTGTTCATTTTTTGGATTTGTCAAGGCAAATCCTCCCGCCTTTGCTTAACGGCTTTTTGTGTTGATGTTTTCGGTCGTTATAGGTGATAGTTTCCCACGATAGTGTATCGATATGCCAAATATCGAGTAAATATCTAGTAAACATCGAGTAAACATAGGTAAAACAATTTTGTAGACTTATGCTCTTTGTCTCACTTTCTTCCCATCTCTATCTGCCTCTACAAACTCTATATAAAAACCTGTGTCTAATCACAGACGCAATGAAACAACCAATGTGTGCCTAGGTTATTACACGCTTCTGATTACCACAATTTTTTTCGAATGACCACATTTTTCCTTTGAGAGCTCCGGTGCAAATAACTTTGGCAGAATGTAAAATTGGGGTATTAAATATTTGCTTAGATCATTTATGCCTTTATATTGAGCAGAAATAATCTTAACAAATGTAACAACTCATTAAAATTTCGTTATTTTTTTACAGCCATACATGGAAGAAATATTTACACAACTTAAAGGAAAGCCATTTAAAAAATTTTTGGAGAGGTAAATAACTTAATTTATAAAACCATAGAAACTTCCCAATTTCACAATATTTGAAAGGAGTCATTTCTAATTCCTCGTTTTAAGGCAGGTAAGAAGCTGGATACCAGCTGCGTTAGCGGCCGTCAAATATAAGCAACAATCTGTTAGAAACACCCGTTTATGCTGCATCCTGCAGTGGACCCCGAATTCAGGACTTGTATTCGTTGTGTAGTCTTAAATGGCGGTTATATTCAAAGGAGCGTTAATTCGTTATTAGGGCTAGACTCTTTAGTAAATTTTGGTAAGAATAAGCGACAAATCTTTGAGACAGACCTCTTGTAAATTCCTTTAACGGTCTTGATAGCAGCAACTCGTAGCCCATCGGTTCCAGGATGTAAATCCATGATTCGGAGTAATTTCCATTCGGAAGGAAAATTCTGAGCTATGTTCTTAAAGCGACGTCATCGAATCTCCGATTTAAAATGCGCCGGAGTCAAAGCTTGTAAGTCATTTTGGTCAGCAGTTAAAGGGCATAGCGTCTTGAGTTTAGACAAGCCTCTATCTGGACGAGAGTCATAGATAACATGTAGTAAGTCTTTTGAACACCGTGAAACGACCGATGAAGTTGTGTTTTGACAGCTTTGACGTTGCATTCCCAGTGTCCTTCAAAAATCGAAGAGAGTTCAGGAAATTTTGTACTGCCTGTTAACCGTTGACTAAAGTTAATTAAACACCACCAATAACGTGTTGTGATGAGTGTTCCTAACAACCAGAACCCTTAAGTGGTATGCCTTTCGAAGAAATTACGCATTAACGCGGGTCTTGGGGGGTCAATCAGCACGCTCCGTACGAATAATCCAAACTTTTTTCCACAGTTTATTGAAGCGATGATGACTTGTGCCATGAAGCCCAACGGGTCAAATAACTGTGGATAGTATATAGCGTTTGGTAATCAAAGGATTCGAGTATAATCTAATATTTTCTATACGGGCTTAAATATACATCTTTACTAGGATGCCAATGCTTTCAAAATATTGTTGGATAGAAATGCAGTTGGTATGTAAGCTGGATGGTTGGATACCCAACAACGTCATCATTGTCAATTTTGAGTGTCACATTGATTGTCTCAATTCCTGTATCAACATATATTTCTTCGCTAAGAACCTGATCTGCCAACGGATAGCGTTCGCGCTTGTTAGGCGCAATCTTAAGGATGCCCGAATGGCTGTGTAATGTGCAGAGGCAGTGCCAATCGTTACGGTAATCCTTTATGAGTGCATCGGGATGGCACCACCAAGTTCGCTGATATTGTGCGTCATCTAAGAGCACATCTATGTAGCGCTTTATTTTTTATATTGTCGGCAACGAATAAGTATAAATGAAGACGCTAGTTTAGTATGACTCTTCCAAGATCGTTTTGCTCAGCCGGACTCATGCAGAGAATATCATCACCAACTTTTTAATTAAAATGTTTTTCTTGATCATAGCATGATGTGAAACACTAAGAGTGAGAGATGCGCCTTTATGTTGACTACTGCGTTGCCTTCTTATTTGCTTTCAACATCTCCTACCTGGCTAAAGTCAAAACATTGTTAAAAAAAACTCTGGCTGTCGGTCGAGTTCCTGTTCTTAAACTTGAAAACGGTTCAATTCAATTTTCTCTTCACCGTGCACTTTTGTGGGATCTTTAATGACAATCGAAATATATATTTTCCTATCTGATGACGGACATGAGTTCGTTGAAAATGGTCTTCACTCCTTTTTTTCTCTGTTTTTGTTTCTGCTGTCTTTCGTGAGACTACAACGAATGGGAATCGATGTAGACTGGGATGCTTCGACTGGTTCGAAAACTACCCAACCAAACAGCGTATTCCGTGCAATTAGTTTTGCGACTGTGCACTTCCGGTCGTCATGAAGCATAAACTTTGGAGTAAGCTCGCCACCGATAATTTAATTCAGCCCTACCGATATTTTATCTACAAAAGATCATCCAAGAAATGGTTTTTACATTTTGTTAAGGTAGGCGACCTATAAGAGATCGAAGGATGAAGGGTAAGGACACGTAAGAGGAAATTGTGATCGTGCTATGCTTTCACTGGTTGTGGGAGGGCGTACCGATTTTTCAGATTTGAGTCAGAGTCTTTGAACGATTTTTTTCATGTAAACAGTGCCTTCAGAGCCGTTATCAAAAAGAGCTCGAAGCAAAGTTGGGAAATAGCTAGAATGGTGGTCGAGCTGTGAGTTGTGGAAACTGCGCTCAAAGGTTACGTTTTGCGAGTGTGCGGTGCTGCCCTACGGACAGAGTAGTGACACAATTAATACATGTCTTAGAGCGGTTGACTACAACCTATCGAGCAAAACAATCCTTGTCATGAAAAACCCGACCATCGTCTGACAAGACAAAACTCTGTAGAGATTCAGACGCGACTGTGGTAGCTATGTCTGAAAAGGTGGTGGTGCTTGATGGTCTGGTAGTAGTACCCCAGGGTATGTTTTCAAGCCTGTGTTGTGATGCTCGGCAGCTGTGTTAGTAAGTGATCACATAATGGTAGGGAGAAGCCGACGAAACTCGTTAGTGCATACATTGGCCAAGTTTAACAAGTTCGAATAATGTAAAGTGGCTTGATTCCATACGAGGGTTGATTTAGCGCTTTGCCACAAGGTTCCATGCTACTAAATAATTGGTTATCGCCAGTGTTTTGTGTTTAATTGCCTTCCATCCGTTAAAGCTTGTTTCAAAAAATGAAATTTTTGATTGCTCGAAAGGAATGGATTTCCACGAATTAGCTGCTTAAAACTGTCGTAAAAGGATGGCATTATTCAAAATTTTCCGAGTCGTAAAAGTTAACTGGAAACTTTCATCGGAGATAGAAAAATAACTGCATCTACTCCACGAAAGAGTTAAAGAGGCTACGTTTTTCTTACGCTCCGCAAATATTTTCACACACTGTCATTAAACCGTCTTTAAACCAAGTATAAACATCATAATGCGAATGTGTTTAAAGCATACATTCTAGTTGCATGTATATAAATATATAATTCTAAAACCCATGCCGCAAAACACATAAAATTTAAGCACAAGCAACCAATTTAATTAATTGGTTAGGTAAGTAATATTAACAGAAAAGCGTCAGCGTGACAGCACCAACACTGACCTTAAGACTTACCACCCATCCGTCACTTTATAACTGACGACTATGGATCTGATCAGCAGGCGCTTCGATGAGCGAGCTAATTTTATCTGCACCAAACTACGCGCATAAACCAACTTTTTGGCACCGACAGCTGGAAGACCAGAGCTCTAAAGTCCAAAATGGGTGAGATTAAAGCAAAGTTTAAGTACAGAATCTGAAATCTGTTTTCAACACCCTCTGCTTTTCACTAAACCTCACATCCGCACCGGAAATAGTCATCATGGACGAATTGGCATGCATAGACGAGAACATAAACGGCAGATTACTCTTCACAAGCTAGGCTTTGACGTTCCGTTCAATTTTTTCCCCATTTTTGTTTGGTGATGGCGACAAATATTACTTATCCGAAAACAAAAACTTTCCATCACGTCTCAGTTTTAAGCAAATCGTGATCAAAATTTTAAAATATTGTATTAGACTTTTAAGCTTAAATATTTAATATCTGTAATGACCCGGTTTTGGGAGGCGGTCGGTAAAGCTCGCCAGATTCAGAACCGAACTCTTATGAATCCACCACCACTGCCAAGACTAGATACCAGAACATTTACCCGGACATCTCTCCTCAGATGATGTTTTCCATATGCTCGTCGGAACGCAAGTGCCTGGTCATCGGACGTGTCTCCGCTGCTATGGGCGACGGTTAGTATGACCATTGTGAGCGATGGGGATATGTTTTAAGTTTTATAAAAAATTCTTAGTATCGCGTGATCCGAGTGATTGGAATAGGCACCTGCAACACAAACGTGAATTCGAGTTTTTAAATAAATTTCTTTATCATCAGTACATAGCAGACGTTGAGAGCGGGCTGAAACTCAACCCCAAATCTTTTTGGCAATTTTCGGTCTGCCAAAACGTTTGTTCGTATTCCGCTTGAGCGGTAGCTCCCCTACAGTGCGTGCGTGCGGCATATACTGTTGCAGGGTTTATATAAAAAAAATATAAAAACCCTATTTAGATATTTTTTGCTGTAATTCTCTCGGCACTTAGCTCCCTTACACTGTGTGCGATCGGAATATTACTCGTTGATTTTCTATTATAATATTTAACAAATAAATAATTTAATAAAAATAAATATTTAACACCTCTTCGATACCAACCAAATAAATACAAATAAACGCAATGGCAACTAAGGATATCGAAGAGCTTAAACACCAACGAGATGTTTGCATGAAAAGTATTAACCGAACTTATCGCCACTTAAAAGAAGCTAAATTATCAGTAAATCCGGTAAATTCTAAATACGCACATTGAAAATGCTTCACTTTTGCAAAACCAAATAGAAGTAAAAGAAGTACAAAAGATGTATACCGCGAAGAGTTGATTTCAATTTTAAACAAGTGCAAACAAAATAATATCGAGAAATCCGCTCCGCCAGCAAATCGCCCGCCTCAATGCCGTCTGCCGAGCGTTGCTCTCCCAACTTTTAGCGGAAAACACTCCGAATTTAAAAATTTTATAAGCCTTTTCGAAACTTTCGTTGACATATTGAAAAATTCAATCATTTAATTTCGTATTTAGCTGGAGACGCTTTAGGAACAGTTAGGGCCTTTCAAGTCACTGCGGAAAATTATCCCAAAGCGCTCATCGACACGGTCACAACCTTGTATGACTCCTTGCTGTCTATTGGGGATGATAGACGCGTTACTAATGCTAATGCCAAAACTTTTCAGCAGACCCAATCTAACCCTAAGAAGAATAGAAATAGGAGTTTTTCGTTTGTCGCTGCCAGGAACGAGTCTGTTCAATGCATGTATTGCAACTCAGTTGAACATCAGATTGGAAACTGCGCTTCCGTTGCAGCCCTAACAGTTCAGCAAAAATTCGATT